TGTCATAAATAAGTTATGTAAACCCGTTTATGGCAAATTGTGTTGCTTGGGGAACCAAACGAGGTCTATGATTAGCGCTCCAAGTCAATTGTGTGAGGGGTGTTTTTTTTTAAGTAGCCCTGTGAACAATTTCTTGGATACAACTACTAGAAACTACTTGGAAAGCATTTCCAGATAAAATTAAGGAGAACTCCATGTGAATTTTCAGTAGAACTTAAAGGAAAACTCCAAGACAATTCAGATAAAAAAATTATGAGAGCTCAGAGGTGAACAGCATGGGAATTCTAAAGAGGTGAATTATTTAAAAAAGTTTATAATTCATTAATTTCATGATTTTTTTAGTGAAAATTCAAGGCACTCCAAGAGATAAACTCGAATTTATTTTAGAAGAATTCTGTAAAGAACTCTATAAAAAGAAATTCTTTTGAAATAAATACTTGAACTTAAATATAATCCTGTTAAGCTCTGTAAAGCTTCTCTTGGACTTTACATACGGCAAGTTGGAATTTTAATTTTTACCCATAACTGAACAGTTTAAAATTCTCATGTCAAACATTTATTTCGTTACATTAAATATAAGAACCTTATTGTAACTAAAATCAAACACTTCATCAATAAGTAGCTTTTGGTTTTATATATAGTTAATCTACTGGTTGGTTTAAGTTAAATTTGAATCCAGATCTCTAAAATTTCAGCGAGCTCATGCACCTGATGAGTTTTTATTCTTGTCAATGTCCACAAAATTTAACCCTTGGATCATTTTCGTCAATGTCCTAGAACTCTAGTTTTGTAGGTAATTCTGAGTAGAATTCCAAGGCAACCTTGAATAGGATTCAATTCAAATTTTAATGAATATTCATAACAGCTTTTCACGTTAATTCTTAAGGAATTATGAGAAATTTTGATTGAGAAGGAGGATTACACCATGATCATTCTGAGGAGAACTTCAAGATAATACAAAAGAGAAATGTAAGGACATTCTGATGATTATTTAAAGAAGATGCTGGGACAAAAGGAATCCGGCGCATATTTCCATGTGAGTTTTCGGAGAATTCATAGAGGTTATATTATGGAGGATTACAATTAAATTAGACTCATCCTATCGAACCTCAAATGATTTCGGTTGAAAATTCCAAGAGGGTTGTGACAAATTTTGTGGAGAAATCTAAGAATAACTACAAGTATTTTTTTACGTTAGAATTTCATAGTTGTGAGTTGAATTCCAAGGAAAGTGGCAATATTCAACGGTAATTCCAAAAAATATTCGATGAGAATAATTCCAACGGATTTATTAGGAATATCCTTAGAAAATTCTGAACTAAATTTCAAGTGAATTTCTTAGAGTATTCTAATGATATTCAGGCCCCGTAACGTGGGTAGATCACCTTTTCATGGTAAGTTACGGGATGTAAGATCTACCACCGATTCATAGTCCTGACTACTTCAAACTAGGGGAACAGTATTTTTCAGTAATCGAAGGAACACATCTTAGTCCTTGTTACTTTTTATGCCTTGTTGATAGTGACAAGACTCGGCTTTGTCTACCGAGGATGATCTTGAAAGAAGGAAAAAAATGAGTTAGTTGTCTTCATCTATGTGATTCCTAATCTTCTATTCGATGTTACCTAGTTTGAAGTGGTAAAGACTAGGGTTCTGATGCAGGGTCATTAACGTTGTCAAACCTTATTTTGTTGCCAAGGAATCCAAATTTGACTGACAAAGGGACGCGCCTTTGGAGGGTGTTTCAAAACTCCGAAGGGTATAAATAACGGGACCTTTCAATTAGAGTCGGATCCTTGCAAACTGTAAAAAAAATCGAATAATACTTCATCATTTCTCAATAGTGATGGAGTAATACGACATGCACTAAACTAAGGACATGGGATATACTACAATAGATCAATTTACTGGTCGCAGTAGTGTTAGGTCCCGAGCAGAGGAAAAAAAATGATATTCAGGTGTTTTTTTTTTCAAATATTTCAAATGAGAATCCCAGCAGCATTTCAAAGAATTTTTGGGATGTCCAAGCAGAACTAAAAAAATATTCCTAAGGTAATTCCATGGGAATTTCAGGGTAATATTAAGTAAATACTGGGGTTAACTGCAAGTGAATTTTCAAGCAATTCCTAGCAAGAATTATTAATAATGTAATTAGCATTGCAAAGTTAATTAATATAGTTTTCTAAAGATGTTGTAATATTTTTTTTCATAATACCTATCAGAATTTCTAGCTCAATTTTAAATATTTCCATTATATTTACATTTTCAATGTATTTTTGACTAATGCGTGAAATTAGGATCAAAGGTTAATGAAACTATGGTACTTTATGGTAGAAACATTCGGAAAAACCTTTAAAACTCATGGAATTGTATAAAGAAGACAATAAGCTATAATAATTATCAACAATATAAAAAATCGTCCAGAATCTGGAATTCTCTTCCATCGTTTTTTTTTTAATTTCCCACTATATAGTACTGTATTTTGTACGTTTAAGCTCTATGATCCTTTCCTTTCCATGGTAGCACAGGGGATCTATAGGTTTTTATTCCGTCCTACGATTATCATTACATATTCATCTCACAAGTTTCTAAAAGGTTTATCAAAAAAAAATCACGTCGGAACTTATAAATTGAGCTTGATAACTTCAAAAGTGTCGTAGTCCTATGATTTGTAAATTTCCCGCATCTTGTAGATCTTTTCGTGCAATAATTTTTCTTATATTGTAAGAGGTATCGCAAATTAATCGAAGACCAAACCCCAATCTAATATTTTAAAATGCGATTGACAACAGAATTGAAAGATTAAAAAGACAAATAATCTGGAATTTATTAAAACTTAATTCAAAATATATCATATTTCCACAAAGTGCAAAAGCTTGAAAATAATCGAAGAATATTAACAAATCTTCAGAGACAGTACTAAGAGATTTTGAAACAAATGGTTCATTCAGGTACTTGTTTTGCTTTCTTAAGTCTGATGCCTATCAAGTTAAAATGTCCAGTGTTCACTCGGCTGTCGACAAAAGCAGGCCACTCTCGATGTGTGCTACGCGATCGTCTGTTTTCTCGGCAGCAACCATTGTGTGGTCCTCCTCATTGTTCTTCATCAGCAGTTCTTTCGGTCGATGCGTCGTCGACTTTGGAAAGCAACCGTTTCGTGATGAGTGTGTGAGTGCTGACCACGTTTTGCGTCCATTGCTACAATGAACGCGCTCTGACCCTCGTTGGCGTACAACAATTTGCCATACAATGAAACTACTGGAAGCGGATCCCGTTCTGATGGATGAGGCTTTTTGGATAGCGGAAGATAAAGTGTTTATTGTGTTGTACCTTTTGACTATAGTTTTAAGATGTATTGTATAGTGACCAAGAATCCTCGGCTCTGTAAAGTTAATTCGGTTGAGCCTTATCAAACAAAATAAATAAATAAAATAAAAAGTTAAAATGTACTGAAAACTTTCGTATTTCTAAAATTATAATATTGCTTGTCAAATGCCAAAAGATCCAAAATATCGTCAGGAATCATGCGAATTGAAATTCAAGGATTTTATGAATTCCTGGGTTCTTGCATAAACAATTCCGATCACTCGATATTTGACTCATCATGTCTTATCCTATTTCTAACCAGTTTAAAACAGGTTTGCCTTGCCTGATTCGTAAATCCTTTGATAATGGACTCGCCCTTAGGAGAGTATTAACCAGGCAAACTTACATTGGGCATGTGGTCTCCCCTCTGAAGTGGCGCTTAAGCCACACGTTTTAGAGATAGATCGCCCAGGCAGGCTACAATATGACGTCTGAGGCAAAGTTGAAGGAAACTGAATTCAAAAATAAAATGCACACTGGAAAAAAGTCACAAATTTTCGTCCTAAAATCTATAACATAGTACAAAGTTTGGGCTTTATTTTTGCAAATATTTTTTTATTGTTTTTCATGCATACGGTTAAAAATCTTGAAAATTTAGTTTTTTTTTTTTACATTGAAGCTTTTAAAAGTTTAAGGCAATTCAGTTTCCTTCAACTTTGTCTCAGACGTCATTTCAATAAGAATGATCTCTTTTTGCGCTATGATTTATAGAAACATATCATATAAGCCATTTTGAAAAAAATAGGCGTGAGTCAAAATGGCCGAATTCCATGGAATTCTGATAGGTAAAATCTAAAATTTGTTTATTTTTTCACTATTCGGTCTGGAAGTGCTATATTGACGAAAACGGTTTTCCCGGAAAACTGACCAGACTGATCAAGGCTACGGTGGATGGTGTACACTGCTGTGTAAAGTTATGAGGTGCTTTCAGCTAATGTCAATGATGACTACGTGGACATTGGCGGAGGTAGAGCAGTACACCAGGTTGAAAGGTGAAGCAGAAAATGTTGGATTAAACGTGAATACATCGAGTACAAAGTATCTATTGGCTGTAGAACCGAGTGCTATAGGGGCGCGCATAAGCAGAAGGGTGATCGTCGGAGATGATTTCAAAGTGGGATGATTTTGTGTACCTCAGATCATTGGTGACGTCTGATAATAACTACAGCAGAGAAATTCATTGAGAAATTATAATGCTGGTCAAATCTGGCAAAAGGAAAGTAATAATATTGAGTACACGATATAAAATCATTTGAAAATCAGTTATTCGATTACATCAGTTTTGCCCTGATACCCTCAAGGCCTTCACAAATAATTCTATTTATGAAATGTATCACATTCTACTGCTCTTACTTTGGATAAGATTAAGTATCAACACCACATTTCAAAGGATGTCGTAACATTAGCATTAGATGAGCCTAAAATCCCAACTCTTATCGTAATAATGGATTGTTTCCTACCATACAAATGAGAATGCACTTTCGGGGGTTTTGGCATCAAAGCAATACGTCCCGCTATCTGCAAAGCTAACCAAAATTATGGAACTTGGAATCATATGGTTTTGTTTATCATTGAGCCGATTTAATCCCACGATAAATGATGAGTGATTGATGGTCAAACCACACCTAAACGGCACAACGGTGAATCTAAGGGGTTTAGTTCGGTTTTCCTGATTCGAGACAGTCACATTGTGAGGGGTAGCGTAAACATGAGGTTGCTTGCTGTGATATTTGCTGTGATTGGTATGTAATTTTAGTTTGATTGTTGGGATGAAGTTTTGCTCAAGTTTGGAATGTTGCAGGCCTCGCCGTAGCGGAGCTGAATCCGGATGCTCGATTGATTGGCGGTACCAATGCTGCATGGGGTCAATTTCCATCGGCCGTTTCAATCAATACACCATTTCAACTGCACTGCGGAGGCGTGATCGTCAATCAACAACATGTGCTAACTTCGGCTCAATGCGTCCTGAACGCTCAGAATCGTTTGATCGATCCCTACTGGTTGACTGTGGTGGCTGGAGATGTTGCTTTGGCTCCTAAAGGTCCTCGCCGTCAGACTAGGAAGGTTAGCAGAGTGTACGTTCATCCGGAGTTTAATGTATTTACCAGGGAGAATGACGTTGCTGTGCTGCGATTGGATCGCCCATACGAACTGCCCTCGAATACGATTGACGAAGCTCGACGCCGGATGCGTGTTACTCCGAATGCTGAAGCTTGCCAGTTTGCCGGATGGGGAGCATCTACGAATGCGGCCACTGCTCCGCTGAATGTGCTACAGCGGTTCCTTCCAATGAACATCAACGACCGAGAGCTGTGCAACCAGGGAACGATGCACGCCGGCCGCGTGCTAGAGAGTATGATCTGTGCGGGCAACACGGCTGCTTCGAACAATGCTGCTCCGTGCACTGGTAACTTGGGTACCGGGTTGTACTGTAACCGGCAGCTGGTGGGAATCCTATCGTTTGGTGTCAATTGCGGTACCGCGAACAATCCTCCGGTGTTTACTCAGGTGCGTTACTACAGCCAATGGATCGATCAGCAGTTCAACCGCACCGATGGACTGCCACCAAATTGGACTCCTGGGCACTTGTAGGATGTTGATATTAGTTTGTTATGATGAATAAAGGTTGTTGTTTACTATGAAAATGATGTTTTGCGTTTTTGACGTGTCTCTTGCTTCAAGGCCGTTTCCTGGAGCTTTCCTAAGCTTTTTGCTAAATGACTATTACAAATATATATAGAGTGCTATATGACAATCTTGTGACCGACAGCAATATACTTCAAAAATCCACCAAGTTTTACAAAATTCCACAGCATCTGAAACAAAAAATTCTCCCGATCTCCTTCAGAATTCTTCAAAGAATGAAAGATGAAATCAATTCTCTAGCATTGCTGAACTCAGTTCCATCAGGAAAAGCCTTGGAAATCAAATCAAACTCAAAAGTTTATACACCATCATATGGATTTCTTCAAAAAAATGGTTAAAATTGTTTTGAATCCTGTTAAGAAACTTTCATGAATTTGTTAGCTGGCGATTCAGGCATGGTAAATCATTTAGATTCATCGTGTGCATTTATTTACATTCATTTGCCTTTAACTTTTTTCATCAACAGAACTCCGTAAAATTATGTATCAAACTTGTAAGTTTTGATATTAGCTACAATGTTTGTGAATAGCTCAAATCTGTATCTCTTATGTATGATTAACCAGAGCGAACACAACCCACCATTGTTTTTCAGTGAATGAAAATTACATTCGCCGAGAAATAATAGTTCAAAAGTTTTAGTTAATATCATTATTTTACGGAATTCTGTTACTGGAAGAAATTTAGGCAAATGAATGTGAATGATTTGCCATAAGTCCCATGATTTTTAAAGATTGTACTTCTCTAGCCGGTAGCCTCCCCAAGATTGAGTATTCTATTTCTATTTAACAAACAGAACATCGTCCTTGTCTTATCCAAAAACCATCTTTATTTCACTCAAGCGAACACTGTTTACCAAATCGGAATAGGAGACGAACCACCCGGAGGAACGTCCTGCCGGTCAAACTGCTGTCGAATCCAGGGTAGGTAGAAACGAATCTGCGTGTAGACTCCCGGATTGTTGGCCTGGCCGCAACCGAAACCTGTCGAAAGAACTCCTGCCAATCGTCCATCGCAGAACAGTCCCGTTCCCATGTTGCTAGCGCAGACTCCCGGTCCCGTTCCGGTAACTCCGGCGCACACCATCGACTCGCTGATGCGTCCGAAATTCAAGGGCAGTGCATTGCAGATGTCTCGATTCAGGATCGGAGCGTTGATAAATTGCTGTATCGGATTGTTGGTAGCGTTGTTCCATCCGGTAGCCTGGCATGGCATTCCGTCGAATGGAATTTCGTCCCCCAGGACGCTAAAACCAATGTTAGGCGTTGCAACCAGCGGTGGCAGGAAACTCGATGTGGTTCGCAGTACAGCCAGATTGTTGGCAAAGGTGAATGGGTTGTACTGCGGGTGAACGTAGACAGCAGAAACACCAATTCGAGGAGCAGCAAAGTTCAGCTGCAGGGCTCCTGACATGATGGTGAGTTGATTCGGGAAAAGCAGCGTATTCTGGACAGTCAGAACACAACGAGCTGCCGTAAGCACATGGTTTTCGTTAAGGATAACGCCACCGCAGAAGCCATTAATAGGAACTGGAACGCCAACGGCTACAATGGATGGAAACTGGCCAAGAACGGCATTGGTTCCTCCGCTGATGAAGGGTTCGAAAGGATCATATTCTTCATCAGTTAGACGGTAACTGCTGGTCAAAGAGAACACTGAGAAGAGAATTGCCGTTACGAAAGAGTTCGGACAAAAGGAATCTAAGACTTACCAAGTAGCAAAACAGCAATCGTGGACTTCATCTTGGCAAACGCTGGCACACTGAGCCAAAAAATGTAAAGATACTACCCAGGCCGACATCTTATCACAATTTTCGGATTAGAGTAAATTCTCATTTAGGGTGATTTAATCAGGACTCCAAGCAATGTGACACTTTTGTAATGTGAAATCAAATATGAATCACGGCATGGTGATAAGATAAGAACGGTGAATTCGGAAGCATAGTCTTGTATATCACCTGCCAATACTGTCAGTATCTGATTGCTTTCCGAGGTGGTAGGGTAAAGAAAATGAAGCTCTTTCTACTTGTTTTGTCAGTGGTAGCTGCTGGTAAGTCATGCAACGGATTTGAACATGATATAATACTAATTACTCAATTCTTGCAGTTGCTAGCGAAGATGCATCCAGCCGTCTTACTGGAGGAACCGTCACCCTTCCGGGACAATTTCCCGCTGCGGTCAGTATTGATTCTCCGTACAACCTGCACTGTGGAGGAACGATCCTGAATCGGCAACATGTGCTGACTGCCGCGTGGTGCGTTATGCATCCAACGACCTTCTCCCTCATCAACCCATTCTGGCTTCGGGTCATCGCAGGTGACGTCAATCTGGTACCGACCTCAGTCCGTCGCGAAATTCGCAATGTAACGCACCTTTTCGTCCATCCGAACTACAATCGGCTGAGCAGCAATAACGACTTGGCGGTGATTCGTGTCAACACCATGTTCCCAGAGTTCCATAATACGATCGAGCCAGCCGTGATGAACACTCGGTTCCTAGCCGACAACACTCAGTGTCAATTCGCTGGCTGGGGAGCAGCTACCAATGCTATTAATGCTCCACTGAACCCCGCTCAACGAGTGATCACCACTCCAATCATTCCCACGGCACAGTGCAATGCAGCTAACGTTCATGCAAACCGTGTTTTGTCGACGATGATATGCGCCGGATCAATCCCCGCTACTGCCAACACGGTTTGCCAGGGTAACACTGGAGGTGGTCTCTACTGCAATGGTCAACTTACCGGCGTGCTTTCATTCGGATTTGCCTGCGGAGCCGCCAATAACCCTGGAGTCTACATTGACGTCAGACAGTATCGCGTATGGATCGACAGCCAGTTCACTCGCACTGACAACCCTGCCCCAGGATGGATCCCCAATCCCTTGTAAAGATATTAATCGATTTGATGAATAAAATGTATTTCGAAAAACCAATGTATAATTTATTATATTAAACTACATCTAGAGGTGACATGCCAGCTGGAGGTCTATCAGTTCTTATCAACTGCTGCTGAATCCACGGGTTGAAGAATCGAATTTGGGTGAACGTTGGGGGATTATTGGCCATACCACAGTTGAGCCCATATGATAACAGTCCAGTTAGGTTACCATGGCAGTACAACCCAGATCCCAGACTTCCATGACAAGGGGCTGGACCATTTTGAACTATATCTGTATTTCCTGCGCATATCATGCTTTCGAATATTTGCCTTTCCCGCCGAATGGTATTGCAAACATCACGATCGTTTATCACCATTGGAATGAATCTTTGCATCGGATTGATGATCGATCCAGGAGCTGGATCGATCGCTCCCCATCCTGCCAAGTAGCAAGTAGCTCCGTTTGCCACGATGTGAGTCCTACGGTTAGCTGGTTCCACCTCATTACTTGGAATGTGGAACGGTTCTTGAACCTGAAACCACCATGATTACTTTTAAATTACAACGATGTTCTAAAACAACCACTCACCCGTATCACAGCAACATCATTCTCCAGCGTGTGAGCTTTAAAATTTGGATGAACGTAGATCACGTCTCCGAGTTGAGTTTGCCTAGTGTGTGACACCGGAACCAGATTGAGTTCCCCCGTGTGAACGCGTACCAACCGTGGATTGATCGTATTGTAGGTTGCATTCAGCACACACTGGGCCAAGGTCACCACGTGCCGTGCGTCAATCACGGCAGCACCGCATAACTCACGATCCGGAGCGACAATGTAGGCTACAGCTGGGAATGCGCCGAACGACGCTACCGTGCCACCGATGAAAAGCGGGTCCGGGTTCGTATCCGGAAGGACAAAAGCGGACGCCGAAGCAACCAAAACCAGAAGAAACGGATATAGCGACATTGCTCGTGGGAACGTTGATTACTCGAGCAGATATCAATCGACACTGACTGAGGTGGTTCGCCAGCACTGTCATAAACAACGCGATAAAGTTTATCTCGGTTTGATCCTAATCGCCTCGGATTAGTCGATAAAGATAGGTAGTGAAGACAGAATTCAGACAAAATGGAATGTGAATGCTACAGTCGGACGGTTGTTTGAACAGTTCGTAAAATTGTAAACAATACAACAAATGGTCCGACATTACTAGGTATGTTTTCTGAAAACCAGTTTTCGGTTATGGGAAATACAATACCGGTAAAATCATTGGCGTAGCTAGAAAATTAATCTGGGGGGGGGGGGCTTAGAGGGGGTCTTTTTTTCAAAATTACGGTTAAATAAAAACTCGCGAAGATGCTATTCAATCAAATTGCGTCAAGGCAACTTGTTTTTGGGTACATTTGTTTTGTGACCAATAATATGACTTTGAGACTTGCTATTATTTTAAAGGTGAACCAATACATTTGATTTCATTTATTTCACAACAACGGTTGGGGCCTTGATTGGGGAGCCTTAAAAGCTTACTAATTTTGAACAAGCAATGATCGTTTGTTCATGCTTTTTGTATTGACATCACATAACGTCTGGATCTCACAAATTTAAGCATCTCCAACTTAAGAAAAAAAAAAAAAACTGTGGTGCCAGTGGTGAAGTGGTAAGCGTGATTAAATCTCACCACAGCAGGCCTGTGTTCAATCCTAGTCGGCGCCGCCTGGATGTTCTGAGGCATTCATGAGTTGATGGGTAGATAGGTACGGTCCAGGTGTGGGAGCTGCCTCCCTGGCATCAATAGAATTGGTGCTCAGCACGGAAAACAAACCAAAGGAAAAAAAGAAAATTCTCAGAGTTAGGTAATCTATGAATTTTGTAACCAGTTTTTTATCTCTTACATAGGAACCAAAACTACAGGGGTTACTCAAAATAACTAGGATAGGCAAATTTTTGGTCAACTTTGGAGTGTTGTAACTTCGTCAAATATGATCCGATTTTAAATCTTCTAAGAGAATTTGACTGGAAAACTAATATTGTTCTACGGTGTAGCCACGAAAATAATCCTGGTCACCGTATACCGGAGAAATTCTGGGTTTCCAGAGGGCTTGTCTAATTTGCTAAATTTTTGGTGAAATTTTATATATGATGCTGGTTAAATATATATATTTTTAGTAAATACAACGAAAGGAGAACTATTTCTAAAGCGAATCATATGCAAAAAACTAAAATCGGCCTATAATCAACCGAGATATGGCCATTTCCCTGGAATCGGTTCTGGTGGAGGGTTCTGAATGCGGGAAGATCATTTAATCACTCAAAACATGTCGTGCGACAGCTCTTTCTTCATAGTTTCTCGTCAATAGACTTTCGATAAACTTTAAATGCATCATTGACCACATTGGCCACTCTCGAAACATCCAGTATGCCCCCGGGGGAACCTGGAGCAGGGGACAATTGCATTTTTACATCAAAACATGCCGTGCGACAGCTCATTCTTCATGGTTTTTCATGAATAGGCATTCATTAAACTTCAAATGGATCAGTGACCACATTGACAGCTCTCGAAATCACGGGATACCCCCGGGGGAACCTGTAGTGTTGGGCAATTGCGTTCTTACTCAAAAACATGCCGTGCGACAGCTCTTTCTTCATAGATTTTCAGGAATATTCTTTCTATAGACTTAAAGTGAATTATTTACCACATTGACCGCTCTCGGGGCCACTGGGATGCCCCGAGAGAACCTGTAGCAGGGGACAATTTCGTTTTAGCTCAAAAACGTGCCGTGCGACAGCTCTTTCTTCATGGATTTTCATGAATATTCTTTCTATAGACTTAAAGTGAATCATTAACCACATTGGTCGCTCTCGGGACCTCCAGTATGCTCCTGGGGGAACCTGGAGCAGAGGACAATTGCATTTTTACACCAAAACATGCCGTGCGACAGCTCATTCTTCATGGTTTTTCATGAATAGACATTCATTGAACTTCAAATGGATCAGTGACCACATTGGCCGCTCACGGAACCATTGGATACCCCCGGGGAAATCTGTAGCCGGGGACAATTGCGTTTTTACCCAAAAACATGCCGTGCCACAGCTCTTTCTTCATGGATTTTCATGAATATGCTTTCTATAGAATTGAAGTGGATCATTGACCTTTCCGGAGTCACTGGAATGCCCTGGGTGGAACCTGTAGTAGGATCACATTTTTACACAAAACAATGCCACTGGAGAGCTCATTATGGAACCAGCAGATGCCCCAGGATAACATGTAAGAGGAAAATTGTATTTTCACTTCACAATGCCGTTCGACAGCTCGAACTATCTGAAGTCTTTAAATGGACCATTGACTACTAGCAGTGGATAGGAGGATTAGGTCTTTAAACTCTGGTTGTAGACCAATAAAAGTCTCTCTCTCTTGTATTAATGTAAGGTGTAGCAAGAGCACAACAACAACTCTTTAATGAACAAAATGACTGTCAACGTCAGCTCTGGAGATGTTCGCCAGCACTTTTGTACTCGCTAGTGACCATCAGTTAGTGCCATTTCCTGCATTTCAAATAAACAATAGTGACAGTGCGAATAAACCATTCTTATTTAAAAAGTTGCGCTTTTCATCTGGGTTCCAAAGCTATGTATGATTAATGAATTGTTGTTTATAAATTAAGAATGCCATTTAAAATTGTAGGAAAATGTTATAATGGAACCGTCTAATATGATATTGGACCACCATTTGCTTCAATAACAGCTTGGTTTCGTCTGGGAATTGATTCATAAAGTTTTTGGATGGCTTCTAGTGGAATGTTGTACCATTCTTGGATCAGAAGATGTTCAAGCGTTTTCAACGACGATGGAGGAGGAAAAAAGCTTCGAATACGAGCTTACAACGTAGACCAAAGTGGCTCAATTATATTTAAATCCGGCGACTGTGCTGGCCATGGCAGGTATGTAAAGTCCTCGTCGTGTTCCGCACTACAGGTTCCCCCCAGGGCATTCCAGTCAATGTGGTCATCCCAGAAAAGGTCAATGTGGTCAATGATCCACTTCAATTCTATAGAAAGCATATTCATGAAAATCCATGAAGAAAGAGCTGTCGCACGGCATGTTTTTGAGTAAGAACGCAATTGTCCCCTACTACAGGTTCCCCGGGGGTATCCAGTGGTTCCGAGAGCGGTCAATGTGGTCAATGATTAATTTTAAGTCTATAGAAAGAATATTCATGAAAATCCATGAAGAAAGAACTGCCGCACGGCACGTTTTTGAGTTAAAACGAAATTGGCCGCTGTTACAGGTTCTTTCGGGGCATCCCAGTGGTTCCGAGAGTGGCCAATTTGGTCACTGATCCATTTGAAGTTTAATGAATGCCTATTCATGAAAATCCATGAAGAAAAAGCTGTCCAGCTCCACCAGAACCGATTCCAGGGAAATGGCCATATCTCGGTTGATTATAGGCCGATTTTAGTTTTTGGCATATGATTCGCTTAAAAAATGGTTTTTCTTTCGTTGTATTTACTAAAAATATATATATATTTAACCAGCATCGTATCTAAAATTTCATCAAAAATTTAGCAAGTTAGACAAGCCATCCGAAAACCCGGGATTTCTCTGGTATATGGTGACCAGGATTATTTTCGTGGCTACACCGTAGAACAATATTAGTTTTCCAGTCAAATGCTCTTGGAAGATTTAAAATCGGATCATATTTGACGAAGTTACAACACTCCAAAGTTGACCAAAAATTTGCCTATCCTAGTTATTTTGAGTGACTACTGTAAATGCTTAGAGTTTGAATTTTATATTTTTCAAAAATTCTGGATTTGAAACATGGTAAAATGTACACGGAATAAATTTCGTTGAAGTTCCCTGAATTTATTCAAAATTTCATATTGTTTTCATCTCACTGAATTCCACGAAGATCTCTGAACATCTTTGCACTTTTGGAAAGACACATCTACAAATATTCTTGAACATCTAGAAAGTTGCTTGGAATTTAACGAAGTTCCCAAAACCTCAAAGAAGTTCATGGAGCTTTTTTAAGTAGGATCTCTGGCAAACTGCAACGATGTTCCCTAAACTGAAGCGAGAATTCCTGAAGTTCTAAGAAGTTTATTGAACTGTTTTTAGCTCTTCTTCAAAATTCTCTGAACTTTTTCAATATTCCTTATACTTATATGAAGTTTAACGCAGCTCCTTAAAATGCTACAAAATTCGCAAAACTTCTGTAAAGTTTGCCGCACTTCTGCGTTTCGCGATTATTTTTCGCGAAGTTGCAGGAACGAAATTTGTTCAATTTGTACGTAATTCCACAACAATTCCATGTCCATGAGGCTTCAAAAATTTTCCCTGAAATGGTATAGATATTCCCAATCAATAGCTGAATGAGCTTCCCTAAAATAAAATAATGCTCCCATAACTTCTACGAATTTTCACTTTTACGCAGTTTTTAAAACTTTTCCAAATTCCTTTTTTCTACGATTTTTTTTTCTGAATTTTCTCAAAATTTCAACTAAGTTTCCTAAATTTCAGCGATGTTGCCTGAACTTTTAAGAAGTCTTTGGAGTTTTACAAAGTTCCCAGAAGTTAAAGAAAAATCACTTGGCTCATGGCCAATTTGTAGAGCCTGAAGACATTTCATTGAGCTATCGATTAAATATCGATATCATATAATTTCTCAAAATTGTTTCTTCTAACCCAGAACATAAGAAAAGTAGTCAACATGAAGGACTTTCCAAAAAAAAACTTTATTTGTGGTACAATTTTATTAATCGCTGTTACATAGTAACATCGAACTTGACAAGCTTGACAAAATACCGGTGAGTCATAAAAAACACCAGCAATTCAGGAGGAGGTTGATAATTCTGGAGAGGGCCTGTACCCCTTGGCACCCCCATTAGCTACGAATCACTCGGGTGCGAGAGTTATCATTCTCTGGGGTGAATCGCTGCTTGTCTCCTCGGAGATTTATCCTGAGAGATTGTTAGACAAAACACGAGAGAGTGAGAGAGTTGACTGTTCACTGTTCGTCT